TTCTTAGTCTAAGGCCAAATCATAATTTCCATAACCACATTCTTAAAAGCAATTATTAATCAGACACTTAAACTATCATAAGTTTAAGGCAATTGATTTCGGACACTTAGGCTCCGTTTGGTACATGGAATTCAAACTATGGAATTGGAATTAGAGACTTCAATTCCAATTCTGGTGTTTGGTAGCACACAAATTATGTGGATTTGGAATTGATAGTGCAAAAAATGAATTGAAATTGACAGAATTCAATTCTATGGAATTGAATCCCATGGAATTTCAATTCCAATTCAATTCCAATTCCACCAATTCCTTATACCAAACGGACCCTTAACTGTAGTCAGTTAAGGCAATCAGACACTTAAACTATCATTAGTTTAAGGCAAATGATTTCGGACACTTAACTGTAGTCGGTTAAGGCAACAACAATATAGCGATTGATCAACATTAGATCAGACATTCCCAAACGAGTAATCTTCTAGTTTGGTCTACGAATCCCGTTTATATATTTTTATCTAATTCATCAAATATTCATGTTTTCATAAGTCTATTCTAATACAAGATCTATTCTAGAGGTTTTCTAGATAGCCTTAACATGAATTAACTAATGGGTATATCTAAGAGTTATTCTAGATACCGTTAACAATACAAATCGTTTCATAATTATCAATATATTCATTTTAATAATGGTTAAATCATCAATAATCATTTTAATCAGTAAGTGTAACGCCCCAAAACATACCCTAGAATTATTAATGAAAAAAATAATCAATTAATCAAATTTGTTTTGATTAAAATAAATTAATGTTGGGCTTTAGGCCGATATGAAATGTGTTTTGACATCCAATATCAAAATCTGGATAAGTCTCATAGAGATAAATCCAATATATTGACTTTTTGTGTGGTCTTGATTGGAAACCTGAGTACAGACCCAAATTAAGAATAAATGAAGAAATTGTTTATAATGTGAACTTTGAAATGATATTTTGAAATAAATCATAGAAATAAATAATATGAATTAAATGTGAGAACCTTTTTGAATAAGAGTCAATTAAATCAATTTTGACTCTGTCAAAGTCAACCACCCAAAAATATGATGTCGGAAAAAGTGTTACAAATAAATATAAAAATTATATTTATGGATAGAGTTTAACTGTCCGACTGCAACGGTGCAAACAGAATTCAATTCGGAGAAAGTTGGACCAAAAAGTGTACCCTGACTAGAACCAAATTGGTCCCAATCAGGGAACGGCGTGTAGATCAATTAGAATCGTTGTCCTGCGCACTAAGGAATTTCTACGTAGAAATGAGTCAGCTACCAATGTCTTCTTCCCCTTCTCTTCTTCTATATAAGGATACTCCATCCTTATCAATTTTGCACCAATGTTCTGGAAAATTATACCATTGTGTTCATAGGAGTGAAGGGAGCAGTCTGGTGTTGTTGGTTGCCGCCGAAGTCGCCGGAGTGGGGAGTAATCATCGCCGGAAGTTTTGCCGGAAAATTTCCAAAACCTCCGTTAAGCTTCGAGGTAAGCCCGTAGATATATCTAGTGACTAGAATGTTCGTATAGATCGTTTCTACGTTCATAAACGGTCGTTTGGTTGAGTTTTGTGTTTGACATGTTTGAAAAACCAAGAATCAAAAACCATGAAATTGTTGTTAAAATTACGAATTAATGACTCTAAAATGATCTGTGAACATTGGAGAACATTTTTATATAATTAAATTGAAATTTGGTGATTAAAAATGATAATGTTAAAACTGACCCGAGGAAGAAGATGATGAACAGTGGCCGAAAATCGATTATTTACTTACTAAAAATCGATTAGAATTTTATTCAGATCAGTGGTTTGAAGTCAGTACCATTTAATCGATTATTTATATTGTAAAAATCGATTATTATGAATTAATTGATTATTTAAATTGTAAAAATCGATTATTATAAATTAATTGATTATTTAAATTGTAAAAATCGATTATTATGAATTAATGGATTATTTAAATTGTAAAAATCGATTATTATGAATTAATGGATTATTTAAATTGTAAAAATCGATTTTTTATGAATTAATCAATTATTTATATTGGAAAAATCGATTATAATGAATTAATTGATTATTTAAATTGTAAAAATCGATTATAATGAACTAATTGATTATTTAAATTGTAAAAATCGATTATTATGAATTAATGGATTATATAAAGATATATAAATCAATGTTTATAAATTAATTTATTATTTTAAATTATTTTCCTCAATTCCAGATCCTGCTACGAAAATGTTCTTGAAAATATGCTCTAAAATCATATTTTTGATAACAATTAATTATGAACAATACAAATATAATTTTGTATAATAAAAATGATGTTTTAGGCATATAAAACATTATGTGATGCATGACGGTAAGTTAGAGTGTTAACACTCAAAACTAGACCGCTATTTGTTATCAATTGTTATGTTGATTAATGATTATGATGAATGATTATTATGGATGATCAAGAATGATGAACTAACTAATCAAAATGATTATTGATGACTGAGCCATGAGTATAATGAATATATTGATAATTATTAAATGATTTGTATTGTTAAGGATATCTAGAAGACTTTAAGAATAGATCTTAGAATGAACTTATGAAAAAATGAATAATTGATGGATTAGATAAAAATGCATAAACAGGATTCGTAGTCCAAACTAGAGGATCACTCGTTTGGGAATGCCCGATCTAATGTTGATCAATTGCTATATATTTGTTGCCTTAACTAACTACAGTTAAGTGTCCGAATCATTTGCCTTAAACTAGTGATAGTTTAAGTGTCTGATTGCCTTAACTGACTACAGTTAAGTGTCCGAAATCAATTGCCTTAAACTAATGATAGTTTAAGTGTCTCATTAATACTTGCCTTAAAAGAATCTGGTTATGGACATTATGATTTGGCCTTAGACTAAGAATAGCTAAGAGCATTATTATGATCTAGCCTTAGACTAAAAATAGCTAAGAGCATTGTTATAATCTGGCCTTAGATTAAGAATAATTTAAGAGCACTATTGAAATAGTATTTTAATTGAATAAAATGTAATCATATGAACTGAACAATACCAAAACTGTGAATGTCTGAAATGAACATTGTGTGCGTGATATCAAATGATTTGATTATGAATTTAGATTCAGTTTATATGGATGTTCGACGCATTAGATATGCTTACTCAGCTTTACCGCTGAGCGTGTAGTGTTTTTTATTTCCTACACGTAGGTAAGCAAAAAGAACAGTGTGATCCTGGCGGCAGATGGGGCGAGATTGTCGGGATGGATGTGACAAGTTTGAAATGATTTATGATATGTCAATACTAAAATCGTTTCCGCAATATTGTTGAATACTCCGTACTATATATGTTATGAAAAATATTATTGGGATTAATAAAGTGTGTTTGAAAAGTTTTAAATTTTTACGATTACCAAGTTAAATACTTTAGTCCGAATGGGGCTGCAGACTTGGACAGATTAGGGTGTTACAGTAAGTTCATCATTCATAATCATACTTAATAATCATTCGTCATAATCATCAATCAACATAACAATTGATAACAAATAGCGGTCTAGTTTCGAATGTTAACACCCGAACTTACCGTCATGCATCACATAACATTTTTATTTGTTAAAAACATCATTTTTATTGTAAAGAATCGTCCTTAAAATAATCATAATCAATTGGTATCAAAAAAAAGGATTTTAGAGCTCAAAAATAGCAATTTAAGGCAAATTTTCGGATCAGAACTTCGGGGGATCGATCCAGCCCTCTGGATCGATCCATGATGTGAAAAACCACTCCTAGAGGATCGATCCAAGCCATATGATCGATCCAGACAGTGGCTTTTCAGCCACTGTTCATCGTCTTCTACCTCGCGACTCCAATTTCGAAAATTCCATTTTTAGTTTCCAAACTTCAATTAAACTATATAGAAATGTTCTCCAAGGTTCATAGATAATTTTGGCATCATTAATTCATATTTTTAACATCAATTTAATGGTTTATGATTCTTGGTTCTTCAAGCATGTCAAACACAAAACTCAACCAAACGGCCGTTTATGAACGTAGAAACAATCACTACGTCAAAAACAGATGCTGACAACTGTTTCTTTTAGTAGTCTCACAGTGCTGATTTCAGTAGTCTTCCGAGCAGCTGTCTGATATATTTACAAACTATTGTTTAAAAACAGTTGTGTAAAATGGTTGACAACACCTGTTTTGTAATGTTTTAGAGTACGACTTTTTAGTGTTGTCCTTGTTTGAGTAAGATATCTGTTTTTTAGAGTTAAAGAGAACTGTGATTTTTTGTTGTCTATGTATAATGAATACTACTGTTGTTTTTAACTTTAGACTTCTAGTTCTTGGTGTTCTCGTTCAATAATATAGACATCTACTTTAAAAAGTAATTGAAAGATATATCAGACTGCTGCTCGGAAGACTACTAAACAAAAATGCCATCAGACAACTGTTATCTTTTGTTGTATTTCTAGAATATGGACTACTAACATTATTCTTATTCAAACTACTGTTTGTTTTAGTTGTATATTGATTATTAACACAACAGTGTTTTGTAGTTTTTCTTGAAATATTCAAACTATCTTTGATGACAGTAGTTGAATTGTTTATGAGACAGCTACTCTAAAGATTACTAAATAACTTTGCTTCAAATAACCATTATTTCGCGTTGTATTTTAAAAATATGAACTACTATTTTTGTAGTATTTCAAACAACTGTTTGTTTTGATCGTCTACATGTTATTAATACTACGAGTTTGTGTAGTTGTACATATACTCTTCAAACTATTAGTTTGAATGGTAGTTAAATTTTTTATTAGACAACTGTTATCTTGTGGTGTTGATTACCAAATAAATATAAATTCAAAAAATACAATATATTGAACAATATACAAATTCATACATTTAAAATACTATTGACATCCAATAATTTAATATTTACATCATCTTCCTTACAATTTGCACATTCTACATGCCTGCCTTTTCAATCCATCATATTCCTCTGTGGAAAAATCCAATACGAATCAGTATTTCACGTCGGCTTTGGCTAGGCGTTCCATGGAGGTGTTGACAGTCCATCGGCACAATCTCAACATCGGGCGTGATGTTATGTTGGCTTGAGTCTCCTTTAATTTATTCCAGCGATGCCACTTCCTGCAACTAATTTTCTGCATGCGATCATCAATCAAAACATGAAATTAATGTCATTTAGTTCATTTTAGATCAATGCCAAGGCGGAGCAGAGATATGTACAACACGTGAATGGAAGTGTGGCTAATATTACATACCCATGATCAAGGGAAACGCCAACAAGTCAAGGGGTTTCTCCGAGAGACCAACCAATACAAGCTTACCATTGATCTTCAATAAGCTTAGTAGTGGCGTAAGTGTAACGCCCCAAAATATACCCTAGAATTATTAATGAATAAATAATCAATTAATCAAATTTGTTTTGATTAAAATAAATTATTGTTGGGCTTTGGGCCGATAAAAATATGTTTTGATATCCAATATCTTAGTCTGGATAAATCTCATAGAGATAAATCCAATATGTTGAGTATTTGTGTGGTCTTGATTGAGAACATGAGTACAGACCCAAATCAAGAATAAATAAAGAAATTAGTTATGTTGTGAACTTTAAAATGATTTACTGAAATAAATCATGATAATAATTAATATGAATTAAATATGAGAACCTTTTTGACTAAAGGTCAATTAAATCAATTTTGACTCTGTCAAAGTCAACCACCCAAAAATATGATGTCGAAAAAAGTATAACGAATAAATATAAAAATTATATCATTAGATAGAGTTTAACTGTCTGATCGCAACGGTGCAATCGGATTTCAATTCGGAGAAAGTTGGACCAAAAAGTGTTCCCCGACTGGGACCAAATTAGTCCCAATCAGGGACTTGCGTTTGGAATCGTAGGAATCGGGCGTCCCCTCCACTGAGACGCCAAAACAGGAGGATTGGTGTCATCCTCCATGTCTCCTTCTCCATTCACCTCACTATATAAACCCTCCATTTCTTCACCATTCTTCACCAAATTTGATCTGAGAGATAGCCTTGAGTGTGGAGAACGCAGTGGTGCTGTCAATTTAGTGTGAGGTCGCCGAAGTTGAGAGTTATTGTCGCCGGATGTTTTGCCGAAAAATCTTCAAAGCCTCCATTACGCTTCAAGGGTAAGCCCAAAGATATATCTCATGACTAGAATGTTCATATAGGTCGTTTCTACGTTCATAAATGGTCATTTGGTTGAGTTTTTGTGTTTGACATGTTTAAGAACCAAGAATCATAAACCTTGAATTTGATGTTAAAAATATGTTTTAATGATTCAAAAATGATCTATGAACCTTGGAGAACATTTCTATATAATTTAATTGAAGTTTGGTGATTAAAAATGATAATACTCGAAACTGACCAGAGGAAGAAGATGATAAACAGTAGCCGAAAATCGATTATTTACTCCTAAGAATCGATTAGAACTTTGTTCACATGAGATGCTGGAAGTCAGAAAAACATAATCGATTATTTATAAT